GTTATTTCAAGATTTTGAATTACGTCGCTAAACTCCTTGAAAAGGTCCTCTTCCTTTTCTCCAAGGTACACAACAAGGCAGCGGATGGCTATAGTTCTCTGCGTACTTCAATTGTATTGTGCTATTTTTGAAAAAGGAAAAAAAGAGAAATTACCTAAATTAATATATTCTGAATGGGCGACTGCCAACAACTTGCATTTCAATGACAACTCTAAATAACGATCCTACCTTAAGTAGCATGTCCTTGATCTGCTTCACCGAGATTCATTTTTAATAAAAAGCGATATCACAATAGTAACCAAAGTATTTTTACTCTCACAGTAGACTCTACTACTTTGTATCCTCTCACATAACTATTCACAGTTCAAAGGCTGCTAATTTTGGTCAAACAGCAATTTGCCTATACAGTGCTACTACAAGGCTATCTACTGTATTTGAATGACAAAAGATGACACTCACATTAAAATGTCCTTTGTGTAGTATTTCTATTTGTCTTAACTGTCGGAACTTGTCCAGGCATGTTAAGTGGGAGTGGACTTGAAATCCTTTACTCAAGGTGTAGAACAATTAAGTTATCAAGCCAATTGCATTACTTACTACAATTTGAATTTTGTTTTAAGTAAATTAAAGCAGAAATCAGAGTTCAAATCACACACAATATTAAGTTGATGTAATTACCAACATTATTACGTCAACACAACTTATAAATTAATGTTTGCAACTTAAAATGTTTATCTAAATCAATTAACTCACATTTTTATCTTGCAACCATGCATTTAATTAAGTGGAGGTGAAAGGTCACCTGAATTCGTTTTTAGAGTGTGTGTAAGATAACATTATGCTTAATAACATAATACATGCTGTATGTAGTTATCTAATGTGCATTTATGTTGCATGCTCACATCGCAATGTAAAGCCTCCTGAGACAAATGTGTGATTGTATTCAATATAAATAAACTTAGATTGACTAATGTATTGATTCCATTAAACTGTGTGTATATGCTAAGATAATCTAGGGAGCCGGCCAAATGTTAACCATATTCTCCACATGAGAGACGAAGGCTTCTGACCAACCACAGAGCTGAGCTCACATCTGAACACACAGATAACTAATTAGGTCCATAAGCCACCGCCAGAAATGCACGTGGGACCTGACGGGATCTGCATTTTCCTCTCTCTCTCCCTCCCTGCCAATTATGTCTCTCTTTTTTTATCTCCTCGCCCTCCAGTCAGACCAAGAGCTGATCCTGTGGATTCTGACATTAATTCAGTGGGACTCATATAATCCCTTGTCAGATTATGGAGCCACACACACACACACACACACACACACACACACACACACACACACACACACACGCATGCACATGCAAGCATCTACAATGTTGAAAAACACCACTTAAATGTATTTCATGTCAAATTCAGCACATAAATACCTGATATACATCCCTTCACGATTGATGTCCTTGTAAAAGTTCTGTGAAATAGAAAGGAGAAGACGGTTAGTGTCAGTCCACATTGGTGTGTGTGTGTGTGTGTGTGTGTGTGTGTGTGTGTGTGTGTGTGTGTGTGTGTGTGTGTGTGTGTGTGTGTGTGTGTGTGAGATTTTTAAGGTCATTTATAAATGCTGCACTAACTCACTAACTCTTTGTATTTGCGTGGAAGAGTATTTGTCTAAATGGATGTATGTGTGTGTTATATTTGAAATACTTCTGATTGCCTGTGTGTGTGTTAGTGTGTGGGAGTGTGTTTATGCGCGCTTGTTAGATAAGCAGCACAAACTCCCAGTTTAATGAAGTTTAATGACATCTAGGGAGACCAGAGGAGTGAAACGAACCGATCACCAGCGCGAGCCAGCAGACACAAGAGTAGACAAACACAAAAAGAAAAAATAACGCATTGAATTTCACTGTGAAGTCAAAAGGGACTGCATGCCTATTAATGTTGATTTGCTCTATTTGTTTCAAAGATCATATAGTATAGATCAGGGGTTTTCAAAGTGTGGGAAGGTGAGCCTCCCCTCAGAGAACAAAAGAACAGCCGCGCCCCCCCTCCCAATTATTATTGCTATTATTATTATTATTGTTGTTGTTGCCATAATGCAGGGGTATTCAATTGCATTTCAAAGAGGTCCAGTGAGAGAACATGTCATTAAATGCTCTGTTTTCGCTGTCTACCTTTCTCTTTTTTGAGCACGCCATTTTAAGTTACTCCGACGGTTTCTCTCTTCTTGTCTCGTCTCTGTGTGTTTGAATCTATCGTGCTGACTCACTGACTGCACCCATTTGATTGGCTGAGTAGTGTCATCTCCTTAAAACATTAAACAATAACTTTTTAAAACCTTTTTATCTTTATGTTTTACATTTTATTTACATTTTCAACATCATGGATAAATCATTATATGCTCCCGGCAACACACTGAACGTCAACTTTGCCTCCTTATTACACTCACCCCTACTTTAGTGGGAACAATGAGTCTGCGTCTTTGATGCGCACAGGCGGATGATGCAGGGATGCAATGTGGACAGGAATAAACACAGATCATCCTCTGGCTGCAGCCTTGACCGGCAATTGCTTTTGATCAAAGTCAATGCGGAAAACCCGCACTCACACAGGTAGGTGGAGAGGCAGGGGCGGACTGGAACTAAAAATCAGCCCTGGAATCTCACCCAGCCCACACAAATTGGTAGAGCACGCTAACCTCTGTCGCCTGCCAGCGCAACTTCAATGATGCAGTTTAAAAACATAAAAAATAAAGGGCGGTGCCGGCCGTCAGCGAACCGAGCCGTTCTGTGATTCTCCAGAACACACAGATGGCCAGTCCGCCCCTGGGTGGAGGTGAAGGGAATGAGCACTTTTACAGCCTTTTTGGAGAGGTGGGGGAACTCGGTCTCCACGGACAGCCAAAGGTGTGCAAGTGACACTTTAATGGTCTTTATTTTTTTCTCACGCTGCCCCTCCCCCGAAGCTCTCTGGCGCCCCCCCAGGGAGGCGCGCCTCACACTTTGAAAACCGCTGGTATAGATCATTGTTTGCATCATTGCATTTTAACTTCAGAAGCCAATTTTTGGTCCATTTTACAGTTCACGGCCACCATCGACAGATATTTTGAACGAACACCACAAATACACAGTACAACGAGAGACTTCTCTACATGGTCCCTAATGAACATACATAAGGGTAATGTTAAATGGACTGTATTTTATACAGCCCTTTATCCAGTGTCTACGACACGTCAAGGCGCTTTATATTTAGAAATCATCATTCACACCGCATTCATACAGAGCAATGTGCCATTCACACACGGTTTGCCACGACATTGGGAGAAACTAGTGGTTAAATATCTTGCCCGAGGAAACATTGACATGTTGACTGCAGGGGCTGGGATCAAACCCCCAACCTTCCGATTGAAGGATGACGGCACTACCTCACAGCCACATGGCATTTAAAAATCCATATGTAAATCTTAAATGAAGATAATCACGCAAACAGGCTTTTTTTGGTAGCTTAAAGTTATTCTGGAACTTCTTTAGCACAAGGTTAGCAGAGGTTATTTTAGCCTGAGCTGTGTGTATGTCTGTGTACAAGAGTACAGGTGTTTCATTGAAAGTGCATCTGCATGAGGGAGCATGAATACCTACGTGATTGTGTGTATGAAAGTGCACGCCCTAAGTGAAGTCAGTGTGAGGGAGGGCACAGTTGGGAGAGTGCAGAGGGATTTATCTTAGCTTGCCAAACAAATGAAAGAGACTAGCTAATGGGCAGCTGTCATGGGCAACAAGCTAAACATCTCTGGCATGTGCCAACAGCCTCAGCTCCTAATGGAAAAATAACACATAATAAGATACCATCACGAGCACGACCAACCATAACTAACTCGTACTCCTCTGAAATATTTTCAAAAACAAATCTCTGGAAAGAATCCATATCAAAAGAGAAATAAAAGAAGCAAAATGCTTTATGGAGGAAGAATTATATGACATAATCTGATGTGGAGAGGATCTTAGGTGGGTAGACTAAACTTGAGAATACCGTGGAGGAGAATCTGATTAGGAGATCACATGAGAGGGAAGCTGTGTAGCAGACAGGAGCTGATGCAACCCTCTGCAAACACAGTCGTGCGACCAGACACAGAGATGAATCCTTTTCTTTAGACCAATTTGCACACAAATCAGAAGTGGAAAAGGCCTACAAAGACCTTTACATGAAAGACAAGACGTACTAGCAGTGTTGCATAATGAAGTCTTCAATCGGTGTGGCCCTTCTGGCATGGATGAGATTATTGACTAAGGTCTCTGTGGGACAAACTCACCTACTAGTCTCTTAATATAGTAGTCTTTCAATGAATAATACGTTTATTGATGTGTGCGTGTGTATTTCTGAGATCAGCACATCTGCTGTGAGGTTCAATACTCCAAGTACAGTGCATGAATCACGAGGCAGGTGTCAATAAATGCAAATCCATGGCGACACATGCCAAGCTTACAGGAGATTTGGAAGGACTGCAGAGTATCGATGAAACATCAAGAAAACAAAACTATGATGAAACTATTAAAGGAAATAACTGCTTACCTAGTCCTAACTCCATATTGTGTTACAGAAGCTGACTTCAGTAACAAGTGAGGAGGCTAGTCGAGGAGGGATTTGAATATTTGGGACTTACAAGAAGGTTGACGGTGCAGCTCATGCGGTTGTTGCGGCTGTCATCGTTCATCACGGTGCGGTAGTCAAGGAGACGAATGAGGAGTCCCTTCACCAAGGAGACAAAGTGCTGCACCTGTGGCCTCAGTGGGGGCTTCTCTGCTGCACAGTCCAGCAGGCTGGAAGACAAGCATCCGCGAGTTAATCATCAGAGGATATGCACTTTAAATTTAGTGTTTTATGCTGCAAATGTTGTGAGTGTATTCCTGGTAAACTACTAATCTGAATCCAAACTGAACATTTGAGGGTTAGCAGGAAATCCACTCTCTGAATTCATTTTTTCAGACAATAGCAAAGCAATGCCAGCCAGAATTTAAATAATTTCTCAAATGTAAAACCATATTCTGGCAGTACTATCACTTCACTCACTACTTTTGTTGGTAGCTTTTTGATTATCTACAGAAGAAGTCGACATTTTCAAGCATTATTGGCTGCCGTTATGGTTTTAAATGATAATACTCAGGCCTACATGGTCTCCAGTAGTTGCATGTATCGCTCGTCTCCTCCTCCACCCTCCACCTCATGGTCCAACTTCAGAATGATCTCATTCTCAAACTACAGAGGAAAGACAAAGAAAGACAGAGCAAACGGGGAGAAGAGAAAACAAATGAGATCAGGACTAGAAGAAGAAATCAATGATGCAAGCATATTTAAGGTGTCTCTTTTACTTTCACGCACTGTCACAGGAAATCAATGTATATGGACAATGTGTCTGTGCCAGTGTCACTGTGTGTATTTGGTACATGCAAAAGGAAGTTTGTATTTTAAATCTTAATATTTCACTGCAGCAAACAATAACGGTTCACACATATCTGTATGCATGGATGCGTTTTACCTTCTGGAAGTTTCCAGAGTGTGCATTTTCACAGGTGATCATGTCGAAGAAGATGGGGATGGTGGCCCTCCTCAGCTCTTCTTCTGGGATCAAAGTCATCTCCAGGATGGGACCCACCATGCCAGGGATGAAACAGATCTTATGGCTGCCTGAAACACACAAACACACACGTTATGAAAAAGGCAAGTAACATCATACCTGAACCATCTCCCCTTGTTCACCCCTGTTCCAATTGTTGTCCTCAGGAATGTTCACCAGGTCTTCCTCCACCAACACATCCTAATTCAAAAGTAGTGTTTCCCTCTACAACAAGGGACTCTACTTCCTATTTCAAGGAAATCACCCTGTACTGTACATGCAGCTTTCTCAGAATACCAAGTAGCCCTTTATTTAAAGAGCAATATGTTATGTGAAAAGGTGCTGACATTGTGATCATTACCATGTTATACAGAAAACAAATTCCACTGGCCCCTTGGTTTCGTTGTGCACCGACACACACAAACACGTATATCTTGCTGTGAAGGAAAACACACATTTGCATTCCCAAAAGCAGCAAAGCAACCACACTTGTATAAAGTACATTTATTTACCTAGTTTGTACCAGATGTCACGTATAGCGAAGCCAATGAGTCTTCTCATGTCACCATACCTGATTTAAGACACATAAATAGAGACAGAAAGAGAATGAGTTTAAGAATTAAGGTCTGGATGAATGCTGTTATTTTCACCTTCAGAAACTGAACATCCCAGAGGGAAATATAATGCTGTGCTAATCTGCCCCAACATGAACCAAATGGAATGTCTATCAACAGGCGTCGCACAGTGGGAGTGTAAACGGTAAATGCAGACTCCAAAATAGATCACAAATCACTGAGTGTTTCATTAGAGCAGGGGCAGTAACTGTGGTAAATAAGGAAATTAAATGGCCCTTCTCTCACTTGGCGAGAATCTTGTTCCTCTTAGTTGGAGAGAAATGCTGAAGCTGCAGAGATTCCTGGGTAATAAACGCCACCGCCAAGTGGAAGTAGTTATTCCACAACTAGACAGGTAGAAAGAGCAAGGAACAGAAGAGGGAGAAAATAGAGATCTATGTTAAATAAAATCAGGCAAATAAAGGTACTGTCAATATTATAAAAAGCCTGTAAATACACACTTACCTGTACTTCAAAGTCGTCGTTATTGAGGAACTTCTGGTTCATTGTGTCTGCATAGGTGTTGATAGCTCTCAGGAACACTCTGATGGACAAAAATAACGTACTGATGCAGTTGTTTGATTGTTTTATAAAACATAAACACGCATCCTTAAGGAAACAACTATGTCCTTAAGGAAACAACTATGTTTATGTGGAATCAATTGAGAAAATTCGTTAATGATCAAAAATGCACCTTATTTGTTGTTAAACAAACAACAACAGCTTTGACAGCAGCTCTGGCCAACAACTTCATAGTGGTATTTCAGACAAGTTTGCTTCAGATTCTAAACATCTGTCACAATAACGGATCCTGATAGCAGCTTCAAACGGTAAGCAGGTGTATCAGTGAGTAGTGACTTGATGGATTTCTAAGGTTAGGTAGCCCCAGCCATCCTACCTGGGCGCTATTCATCTATCAGTCAGGGTTATTCACCGCTAACCGACATTCCCTCTGTCTTACTTTGTCTTTCAAGCGTGACATTCTCTACCTCTCCTAACCCCAGTTTGCAGACTCCTTATCAACCTGTCCTTACTTCCACCTCACTCTAACTTTAACCTCTTTTCTTTTTCCATTCCTCTGACACAGCTGTAACCTTCCTTCTAGCTGACAGCCCAAGAACTATTCCACAGCAGCTCACTAATAAATGCTTTGGTCACATCAGCCTTTTTCATCTTTGCAGCCCTGAGCCCCAGCTTTGCTATCTCTAACTTCTCCCTGTGTGGGTTTGTGTGGATGTCAACAATATTTTATATAATTCACACACACCAAGCCTCAACGACCCAATAGCAGGTTGGGCTGGGGCGGTTGTGGCCTTTTCTGTTGTCAGAGACCTGGGAGAAGCAGGAGGATGTTTCAGATCTCAGGTCTGTGTGTGCTTCTAGTACCTGTTCTGTACCATGATCATGGCCATCCAGTCAGAGGGGTACACATGTTTCCCAATCAGATCCTTGAAAAGCATGAAGGACTCCATCAGGAAGTCCTGCAGTGAAACGGACAAAAGAATGAGAATGTGAGTGTATCACACATATTTCTTGTTTCATATTTTTCTTATTTATTTATTTAATTTATATTTCTTGTTTCATATTTCATATTTTATATCCTATAATTCATTCATAGCATTCTATTTCCATGTAAATTACTGCTTTTATTTTGTAGCTATTTAACTATATTTTATTACGGTGTCCTTAAAGATTTTTTGTTTTATATTAGATGTCTGCACCATGACATCAAGTCAAATCCCTCGTATGTGTGACCCTACCTGGCAACAAACCTGTTTCTGATTCTGATTCCGATCAAACTTTTTTAAAATTAATTACAGTCAGGAGTGGTTTTTGACCATCAGTGTATATTTAACATTCAACATATTTAGCATTTTGACATCTGCAGGTGTCTGTATACTTACCACCAGATCAGAGGATCCAGCGAAGGTTTCTATGTATGTCTCATAGTGACGATCATCCATCTGACTGAGTATAGCTGTCATGCAGGCTACCACCCTGGACTACAAATGGAAATTGAGAGAGAAAGAGAGAGAGAGGCATCATTACTTTTTGGGCACAGTGCAGCTGCTCTTAAACCGAGTGCTATTCATCTGAAGCCAACAACGTTTAAATCACTTAAGGTCATTTCTTGCTATGCCATGTCAACGACTGCCTGGGGTAGATTTCAGAGAATACCTCAGAGCAATTCTGTCACTCGCTAATTTGAGCTGCAATCTATACTAAAGTGCAAGCAGCATTAACATCCTCACATGCAGGACGTGGAGGAAAAGGGCTATGAGGAAGGCTCTGTGATGTTATTTTTTAAAGATGCTGTATGCATTGACAAGCCTTTACCGCAATATTATTCACAAATTACCATAATTACTATCAACAAACATAGACATTGCCAGGAGCAGTAGCTGCCTCTTCAGTTTAAATTGTGGCTCTCGGCCGCCGGGGAAGATTTCAAACAATAATTGAAATGCTATAAAATACAAAAACAAAAAATAGACATTAAAGCGATATAATTGGTCGTTACAGCATATGCTAAAAAGTGTTAAAGAACAAAAAATCCTTATAACGGCAGCTTTTTGAGGCAAATTATCGCAACGTCAAACAGAGCAGCAACATAAAGGTCTCGTTCATACAATATGAAATACATGATTTTGTGAACCAGTGTGATTATTATGGATTAAATAATAAACAACATATTAAGCAAATCTTGTCACATCAAAACAAAACATATGAGAATGCTGACATTTTGGAGGCAGTTTACATACTGCAGATTTCTTTCAGTGATGACGTTTTTAATAAAGTATTCAAAACTCATTATGTTCACTTATCTCTGAATATGTCCCAAGGCGCAAACGGTGCACAAAAACACACACAGAGACTGGTAAAAGGAGAATTGGATATAGGAGATGAAAGTGATGAGAAGTCAAGAGATTAGAGAGGAGGGAGAAGAAGCAAGCGTTACTCTGAAAGTAAGACAGACATTAAAGATGAGGATAGGCAAAAAAAAGATTTAAACAAGTTTCAAGTTTGAAATGTGTGTGAAGCTGCTTATGCTGAGAAAAGAATCCTTGAGCTGGATTATAAGCAGAACATTCATGGAAAATTTAGTGCAAAACCTCCACAACCAGAGGCTGAGAGGGGCACACAGTGTGAGGGGCGGCAGGCAAGAAAGGAGAAGAAAACAGATTAAAAAAAACTGCATAAAAACTCCACTGCACTAACCAGAAGAGAACAGAAATTAGCAATGTAAAATGTATTTGCAAAAATAAAAAAATATTCCGGTCATCATACCATTCAAATTATCTGATTTCCATCTGCTCTAGACATTTGTCTGGTTCTACTTTCTGTATTTTTCTCTAGGAATATACAGTCTATTTGGCCTTTGTAAATGATGTCTAGACAACAAGAAATAACCAATTGGAAAGCTGAAATGAAACATGGTTGGACTAAAATTGTTGGTGGAAATGAAAGAAAATGAAAAAAACTGCCCTGTTACAGCCATTTTCATTTATTGAGCTGTGTGTAAACAAGCAGATATGATTCTCGTTCTAATGGCAGTCGGCAGGGTGAGCCTGAAAAGGGTTTGCACCAGGAGGACAGAAAATCAGAAATACGGTCCAGTGCTTAAACCTGCTGTCAGTTTGTTTTCCTCCACCTTACATTAATGTTTTCTGATCCTTCCCTCTGCTGTGCGTAATTGCTGGAATGAGGTTCGCAAACCTTTTTTTTAAAACATGGCAGATGTGCAGGAACTTCTGTTTCATCTCAGCAGCCAAGGTTTGAGTGCAATTATCCTCCGGAGTTTTTGGCACAAAAGGGGAACACAAGACAGAGATGAAGGATGATGGATGGCTAATTAAAGATGAAAGATGATCGGCGTCTAATGTGGTGACAGCTTGCATCTGATCAAAATGGGCAGGGTGTGTGTGTGTGTGTGTGTGTGTGTGTGTGTGTGTGTGTGTGTGTGTGTGTGTGTGTGTGTGTGTGTGTGTGTGTGTGTGTGTGTGTGTGTGTGTGTGTGTGTTTGCCTGCATTCTTACAAGAAAACATACTTTTTCAGTCATGTATGCACACTGAAACATATTTTCACTTTGTACAACTCAAACTAAAATGAGAGCACATACTGTAGAGGGAAGTGTTTTCATTTGGACTTAAAGTTGTTCAGCTGGGGAAGACAAGTGTATGTTATCTAGTGTGTGTGTGTGTGTGTGTGTGTGTGTGTGTGTGTGTGTGTGTGTGTGTGCTCCTCCCCCCTCCACTC